GATCAGGCGAGCGCGTACCGCCGCCACGCCCCCCTTCCCAATACATCCGTGGATCTGGCAAGCGCGTGCCTCCGTCGCGTCCCCCATCACGATTCAGCCGAGGCTCTGGCGAGCGCGCACAGCCGCCGCGTCCTCCGTCCCGATTCAGGCGCGTATCAGGCGAACGCGCGCCGTCGCCACGTCCCTCGTCACGCTGCTGACGCGGATATGAAGAGCGCGCGCCGCCGCCACGCCCCCCTTCCCGATACATCCGTGGATCTGGCGAGCGCGTGCCTACGTCGCGTCCCCCATCACGATTCAGCCGAGGCTCTGGCAAGCGCGCACCGCCGCCGCGTCCTCCGTCCCGATTCAGGCGCGGATCAGGCGAACGCGCGCCGTCGCCACGTCCCTCGTCACCCTGCTGACGCGGATCTGGAGAGCGCGCGCCACCGCCACGCCCCCCTTCCCGATACATCCGTGGATGTGGCGAGCGCGTGCCTCCGTCGCGTCCCCCATCACGATTCAGCCGAGCCTCTGGCAAGCGCGCACCGCCGCCGCGTCCTCCGTCCCGATTCAGGCGCGGATCAGGCGAACGCGCGCCGTCACCACGTCCCTCGTCACGCTGCTGACGGGGATCTGGAGAGCGCGCGCCACTGCCACGCCCCCCGCCGTCACCTTTCTCTCCGTCGCGCGGCAGGTCTCGGGTAGTACCGCCCTTTTCTTCCGCCTCCGCCGTGCTCGGCTCCGCCGCCACGCCCGCCTGCGCGGGATCGTCGTCATCAACTCCAGCGGGCATCTCGCGCTGCTCGCCTGCGCCTTCCTCCTGGGGTTCGTCATCGCCCTTGGTCTCGCCTTCACGATTCGTCTCCCGCACTCGATTCGCCGAGTCGGCCTCGTCTTCTCCATCCACATCAAGATCGCCTTGGCGACCCGAGAAGAGCCCCTCCAGACCTCGCCCGCGACTTCTCTCTTCGCGACGGCGATAGCCTTCCTCCGGCGAGCGGTATGCTCCCGTGTCCTGGCGGTACCCACAACCGCCATCCGCTCCGTGACGCCCGTCCGTCCGCCACGGGTCACTCCCCGTCGTGACGGATCCAGATCCGCCTCTTCCTTCTCAGGCGGAACCTCCCTCCTGGCGATCTGGCGCGAGAGAAACCTGATCCGCGCGAAAGGCCGGCCTCCGCGGCGATCGCTCAGGCCGCCGCGGCGACCTCTCCAGCGAGCGCCCGCGCTCACGTGAGCGTGCGCGCCGCGAGCGATCCGCCTCATGGCGACCATAATTCCTGCCGTAACGCATCTCGTACACATCCATGCTTGTACGCGCACCTTTCTGGTTGTTATGAAAGTGACAGAACTCTCACCTCTAAGGTCCTCCCTGAGTGGTGTGCCACCTGCCTGCTCTGGTAAGGTGACAATAGTCCACTATACGAAAGGATAACAACCAGAAAGCATCAGAGGTGTGTGTGAGAGTGAACTTACCTGACCCTGGCTCGAACCGTGCATTTCTCAATGTGCGGCTCGAGCCTGGGCTGGTTCGTTCTCATTGGTTGCAAGGTTTTCACCCAAGGTGCTCTCCTACCAACTTCGCGTCAATTTCCCAGCTCCCACCTACCTATCCTCGAATTTGCAAACACAACATAGCTACACCTCCACTACACCACCATGATTCTGGCACCTTATATGCACAACCGTGCATATTCGGTGACATTACCTGCGGGCTGCTGTAGTTGCTGAGAACGACCTCGCCTTCAACGCCAGCAAGTCAAAGTCAATCCAAGCCTTCGCTGACGCGGCGGTCGTGTACGGGAAGGCGTACACCCTCCCTACCCCCTACAAGGTATCCGGCCCGCTGCTCGACAAGCTCAAGGAGAGGTGGAAGACAACCGGGTGCATGCTCTCCGTGGATGGGTGGACATGCATCAAATCCCGCGGGATGGTGTGTGTCGTGTCATCGCCCAAAATGACACTGCTCCCGTCATCGTCGACATCGTTGACTCGAAGACCGCCAAAAAAACCGGGGTCTACTTGGCGGGTCTTGTTGAGGGCGCGATGAAGGAGGTGGGGCCTACGCATGTCATCCAAGTCGTGATGGACAACGCCTCTAACAACAAAATCGCCGCCAACAACCTTTGCTCGGCGTATCCCCATGGCGTCTTCACCAACTGCGCCGCCCACTGCCTAGATGTCATGTTGCACGACCTCGGCAACATCCCTGCTGTTAAACGTGTGCTTGGCCAAGTGCACCGCGTGGTGATGATGGTCAAAGGCAGCGCCTCTGCCGTCATCTTGTTCCATGAGCTTTTTAGCAAGCCCTCCTTGGTGCGGCCGGGTGCAACGAGATTCGGCACCCAGGTCATCATGCTGGGCAAGTTCCTGGAGGTGAAGAGGGCGTTGAGGGCGGTGGTAATCAGTCAAGAATGGGAGGAGGTGGCGGTGGCACAGACAGAGGAGGGGATGGAGGTTAGGAAGCTCCTCTTGGACGATGTTTTTTGGGACTGTGGGACGGCGGTGCTCCGCCTCATGACTCCGATCTACGTTTTCTTCGAGCCGTTGACACACGGGCTCAAGTCATGGGCCAAATCTATGGCCTCATGCTTGAGGCCACGGTCAAGACAACCGAAGCGGCTGAGGCGGCTGGTAAGTGGGTGGGCTGGATGTTTTCTGATTTGCTGTCAACCCTGTACTTTCTGTTTTGTTCAGTTTGTTTTCTGTTTTGGACATTCTGGTTTTGTGCATTCTGTTTTTTATTCTGTTGTGTACTGTACATTATCTGCTCAATTTCCACCGTGAGCAACCTCCCACTTCATCAGACGGACGGAACTGCTAGCCACGAAGGATAGAAGCACCTTTTTTACCACCATCAAGGCAATCATTGCCAAGAGGTGGGATGCACAGCTACACAACTGCCTGCACGCCATGGGTTGGCTCCTCAACCCCCGTAACTAGTACATGGAGGAGGTCAAAAACGACCCAGAGATTAGGAAAGGGGCGGACGAGGTAATTCAAGCCCGGGGAGGGGATGTCTCACAGCGCATAACGCTTGCTGCACAGCTGGCTCAGTATCACAGCTGGCTCAGTATCACAGAGGGGAGGGCCGGCTGGGCTCTGATGATGCCCGTTGGACAGCAAGGACCTTGGTGGAGGGGGGGCGCATGACGGATGCGGAGTGGTGGACCCTGTTTGGTGGGGAAGTGCAGGCGCTCCAAGAGCAGGCTGTGATGGTGCTGTCACAGCCAGTCACCTCCTCTGAGGTGGAGCGGTACTGGTCAGCCCTTCAGCGTGTGCAGAGGCGGGACCGGAACCGCCTCACGGCAAAGAAAATGCCTGACGTGACCATTGTGGCCTTCATCAAGAGGGCCCGTGATGCTTTTGATCAAAAGGCAGCCGTGCGGGCCCGGCTCTATGCTGACCTGGGAAACGGCACGCTCAAGGAAGGGTGTGCCATCATCTCGGCCGAATCGGAGGACGAGGAAGGGGAGGCTGAAGAGGAGTTGAGCATGTGGCCCGACCCGACCCGATTTGGCCGGGCCACACGGGCCCTCGGGTCAGGTCGGGTCGGGCCGACCTCGTGCCAGAATCTTGAAACAGTTGGCCCGACCCGGGCCTACTGACTCGGGTCAAAGGGGACCCGGGGTCGGGTCGGGCCAGGCAGACCCGCCCCCTTAGGGGAGGCTGGGGGTATTCATCACAATGTGTACATTTCTCTGTTATACTTGTTATACGCCACGGATGTAGTGGGGTCGAAGGAAAGTAGAGGTTGTTCTTGAATCTAAGTACCCTAAAAACTACGAAATTGACCTGCGCGAAGTGCTGCCAGAATCGTATATCTACGAATGTAACTGAAAGTATGTGCATTCGTGGGGGAAAGCCTAAGATAGGAAGTAGTTTAAAGAAAGGTACTTAATACTCTAAGGCCACTAGCTGCTGGGGTGGCGAATGTAAATCAACGGGGAAAATATCCCCTCGATCGATTTACATTTGGGCTAGGGTTTCGGCCCTAGCCCTGTCGAAATCGAGTCGCACACCTGGTCCGACCCGATTTCGACATTTTAGACCCGATATCGGGTCGGGGCAGGCCCGACCCGAAACCCGGCTCGGCCCGGCCCGAAATAAGCCCTCGGGTCGGGTCTTACCCCGGGTCGGGTCGGGTCGGCCCGTGCGGGGCAGAGATTCAGAAACCTTGACCCGACCCGGGCAAAACCACGGGTCGGGTCGGGTCGGCCCGACCCGAGCGGGGCACCTGCTCAACTCTAGAAGAGGAGGAAGAACCCGAGGAGGAAGAATACACCATTGATTGGTCGGAGTTTGGGAGCATCGGTAGGAAGAGGAAAGGGAAGGCGGGTGAGTCATCAAAAGGGAAGAAGGGGAAGGGCATCGGTTCATCCAAGGGAAAGGGGAAAGGAAGAGCACGGGATGAGGAGGAGGAAGAGGAGGCGGCAGACAGCAGTGGGGAGGACGAAGAACCTGCCAGAAAGAATCCCAAGGGACGAGATGCCTGGGATTGCAGCGACGGTTCAAGTGGGGAGGAGGAAGAGGACGAGGAGGAGGACGACAAAGAAGAGGAGGATGAGTAGAGTGAGGATGGACCACAATATGCCAGGATTGCAGCGACGGTCGAGTGGGGAGGAGGAAGAGGAGGACGACGAGGTGGAGTAGGAAGAATACAAGGAAGGATGAGTAGAGTGTGGGGGGTACTTGCTTAGATATGCATGCATGTATAGTTAGTAAGGGTAGAGGCAGTAATAGTGGACCTTTGCAGGCCTGTTTCTCCTTAGAGTAGGTTATTATCGCCTTCCTTGTCATTGTTGTAGACATTTCAGTAGTTTCTGGATTTTTTTTCGAGCCAAAAACGGCCAACAAAAAAACAGCTGAAATATGGCCAAATACGCCGTATTATACGACCGAAAAAAACGGACCGTATCATACAATGGCCGTATTTTTAAACCTTGCTTCCCACCCACTTCCCTCTGCTTGCCTCTCCCTCTGCCTGTCTCTCACTCTGCGTGCCTCACCCCAACCAGGTGCACCACCTGTGCCACGCCTGGTTGCAACACCACAACTCCACCGTCCCTGCCACACCCTCACCCGCTGCACTCTCCTCATTCGCTGCTGCCGTGTCAGCAGCTCCTCCCGACCAATCAGACGCCACCGGTGGCAGAGGGGAAAAGCGTCTGGTGCAGCAGCCTAGGGGGAATGAGGAAGCTTCCTGGGAGCTCCCAGTGCGGTTGAATGTGTCTCACGATGCCCTGCTGGCTGCGTGGTGAGTTAAAGTCAGGCGTCACGCTTGAGCTGAATGCCCTCCCACTCTCCCTCTCCCTCTCCCTCTCCCTCTCCCTCTCCCTCTCCCTCTCCCTCTCCCTCTCCCTCTCCCTCTCCCTCTCCCTCTCCCTTTCCCTCCCCCTCTCCCTCTCCCTCTCCCTCTCTCTCTCCCTCTCCCTCTCCCTCTCCCTTTCCATCTCCCTCTCTCCCGCTCCCTATTCCTCTCCCTCTCCCTATTCCTCTCCCTCTCCATATTCCTCTCCAACTCCCTCGCCGCCTCCTCTCCTTCCGCTCCAATTCATGCCGGGCAGAGAAAAAACGTGTTGATAGCAGAGAGCACCTCATTGATTTCACATCAGGTTTTGAGGCGCCTCAAGGGCCGTCTCGATCCCCGCTCTCTCTCCCCTCTCTCCTTCCTCTCCTCCAGTGCACGCCTGGCAGAGTCGCACCTTTTGCTAGCAGAGGGCAGTGCCCTGCACTGCGTTCAGCGCATTCAGCTCAACTTACCAAGGTATGTCCCCAATTTCCACCACTTTTTGCCATTTCCTTTTCTTAACATGCCCGCATTCATTTCCTTTGCTTGCATTCATACCTCCCCCCCGTCTAGGGAGGATGTGCTCCATGCGTTGAGTGCCGACCAGGAGTTGCCTTGGTTGTCAAGGCACCTTGGATGATTGGAGGTTTGGTATGGCAGGCTCACGAACCACATGAAAATTTTATGTTTTGTACATACATTCTCCATTATTGGTGAAAGCCATCTCGGAATGGTAACCGTTTCTCGTCAACCACTTCACAACGTTGCCGAACTGGCTTCTTTGTTGGACTGGATTCAGGGCTGCGTTCTGTTGGCGCATAGGTTGTGCTTTACCCTAGCAAGAAATCCTCTACAAACGCACTTGAGAAGGAACCAGACCAAATCGTTATTGTGACCCGAACCGCTGGTGCGGAAGTTGTGCGCACATTACCTATGCGTGCGCAAAAGCGCAGAACTGACTGTGCGCTCGGAACATTCTTGGACATTGGTTTTGCTGTTCCACGGCAACTAAAGGGTCGAAGTGGATAGGATAAAGGTTGCAAAGTTGAAGACAATGAAGTCTTTGAGTGACTTGCTAATAATAGTTGAAAGGGAACAAGATAAGCATTGAGTACTCCTTGGTGTCCAAGTTATGTGAGTGGAACAGTGCATATTGTTGGTGATCATCGCGTGAGTTCTGTTTTTGGGCACTCGGGTTCCGTTGTCGCAGGACTGGGTCGCAAGAGTATTTTCAAAATATGTAGGGTAACCCTGTTTTTGCCAATTTTAAGTTCATGAATCTTGAAAATTACCATGCTGTACCCAGGCTTTAAGATACCGTATAATTCCAAGAGGATTAAATAGAAATATAGCTACGGTAGCTACCGTCTCCCCCCGGATATAAGCGCCACCCTAGGATAAGCGCCTGGCGCTTCTAATTGGCATATGGCGCTTATATCCCCTCCTCGATTATAAGCGCACCCCTTGAAAAAACTTGTTTTATTATAAGCGCACGTAAACTTTAAAATTTGAAATGTGTTCAAAAAGCTGTAACGATTTTTACTTTAGCAGGCGGATATGTTGCAGAATCGGTTCCCTTCACATTCGGACCCTGCACTGGATGCGGGTCCAGTCAGCAGGACCTGTCAGGAGCTGGATGTGAGTCAGATTGGGTGTATCGCCCAGCGCGCGCGAGAATTTCACAGACGATCCCATGTAACTTCGACTCGATTGAAAAGGCAAGCACGAGACCTACAGTTTGGTGTTAAAAGATATAAAAAAATATGTATGTCATTTTATAAACGCCGGCGCTTATAAATTTACTCGATTATAAGCCCACCCCCATGAAAAAACCTGTTTTATTATTGCCCCCCATGGGGGTATATCCGGGGGGATACGGTATGTATTCTGAGGAGTGTTAGAATGGACTAAGCTACTAGCGGAAGCTTTAGTAGTCTTAGAACTTACTCCTAAAGCCTAGGAATCTTAGGAGCCCACTTGGGCATGAACCATGCTAGAACCAAAGTGATTTCCAAGAAGTGAAGTTCCAACAAGAGAGAACCCTAACCTAGAGGGTTTGGGAGGTGGTCCACTCTATAGAGTGTACATCACAAGTTCTCCCAACCCAACCAATGTATTCTACACTACCATAGTGTAGATGTATCACTACATATGTTTATTGGAGCAACCCGAATTAACCTTAATTCCAACAAGGAGTACATTTCCTTATTGCCAGTGTATCGCAAAACTACAGTAACTGTGACTATTGCCAATCTTGACCGTTGACTTTCAGTGACTGTTGACCTTCGGTTGACTCTCGAGCTACCGAGTGCTATATATGAGCATGAAGCGATACTAGTCAGTAGCACGGCTTCGGTATGAAGTGGTGCGCAATGAGAGAACCTTCGGGAATGCTACAATAACTGTTCGGTTATTCCAACAGGTTTCATAGGCAAAAGGCCTGCGGAACCCAGGTAACATAGTCGGCCGGGCAACCACGTCGACCAGCTGCTTCTCCTCATGCCCGTCGACCACCCAGGTCGACGACCACCACTGGTCAACCACTTCGGGTCGACCACACCCCAGGTCGACCAACATTAAGTCAACCACACACCAAGTCAACCACCTACAAGTCGACCAGCACAGCTGTCAGCCGACCACACCAAGTCGGCTTCCCCAGGCCAACGTCGCCAAGTCGACGTCCTCCCAGGTCGACCTCCCAGGTCGACCTCCCGAAGTCGGCACCTCCCAGAGTTGGCGCCCTTCCCAGGTCGACGTCTTCCCTCGTCGACCACCGGGTTGAAGACGACCGCCGGAGTCCCATAGTCGGCAGCATTGTATTGGCCACGTGCAGTTCGACCAACTCGTCGACGAGCTCGCCCAAGTTGGCGTCGCCCATTACTGCAGGTCGGCTGCACCTTCCGCACACACAACCATGAAGTCGGCTCCGCCCAAGCAAGGACGGAACCAATGCACAACACCCGTTGACACTCCCCTGCCGCGTTCACGCTTGGGCCTCCAACCCACACGACAGCACCACTCGGAGAATAGCTCGTCCGCGTGCACACAACACACAGCACGCCGGTTAATGCACCAGGCGTGTAGAAGGGCACGCCACCTACTACTGCATGCCGTCGTCACCGTCGCCGACGTCGGTCAGGCGCATTTGGCCGATTGCAACGGAGCACCGTTTAAAGGCCCAAAAGTGCAGCGCCTTTGCCAGGAAGTCGGCTGGCTGCTTGGTTGTCGGGATGTACTTTAGCGTGAACTTCCCGCGCTTCACCATGTGCTGCAGCCAAGTATATCACTTCTCCATGTGCTTGAGGTTGCGGAGATAACTTAATCAACGGGAGCTAGACTACAGGCTAGGCACAGGACTAGATTGATCGTAGCGTTCGTTCGTTATTAATTTGCTTGTGCTTGCACAATGGTTCACAGGGGAATTTGGTAAGAGTTTCACTAGCAAAAAGTTCACAACAACGGTACAATGAAGTTCCCAAGGCAAGACTACATCAGAGGACGACTGCTAGCGCAATACGGTCGACCGGGTGGCAGCTCGACTTGGTCGACCGCGCTCCAGCAGTGCAAAGTCACGGCTCGCCAACGCTGCAGGTCGACGGCGTGCCAACAGCGCAAGTCATCGGCGTGCCAGCGTTGCTCCCGCAGCAGCGCACCCGCAGATGATTGGCATGCTGTGCCTCGGCACCTGCACAGCGCACGCACCAAATCGTCCTCGTGCTGACGATTGCTTCTGAGCAGCCACGTCGACCTCGGGATACCACCACTGAGGTCGGTCTCGCCAAAACGACCTGGGCGACCGTCGCACTCCTCTGCAGAACCTCGTCACCCAAGTAACCTGGTCGACCGGACAACCACGTCGACCAGCTGCTCCTACGCGTGCCCGTCGACCACCCGAATCGACGACCACTTCCAGACAACCTCACCAGGTCGACCACACCCTTGCTCGACCACCTCCAGGTCGACGACACTTCTGGTCGACCAGCACACATGTCAGCCAGCCACCCAAGTCGGCTGCCCCAAGTCCGCGTCACGAAGTCGATGCCCTCCACCGGTCGACTTCCCAAGTCGACCACCCGAAGTTGGCGCCTTTCCGAAGTCGGCGCCCTTGCAGTGGCCCCCGTGCAGGTCGACCACTCCCATTGACCAGGTCGCCCACTGCTCCAGGTCGGCTGCAACTCCCACACACCCGACCACAAAATCAGCTCCGCCCAAGCCAGGATGGGGCCAACCACAACTCCCATTGACACTCCCCCGCCGCGTTCACGCTTGGGTCGCCCAGCCCATACGGCAACACTTCTTGGAGAATAGCTCGTTGGCGTGCACCCAATACACAGCACGCCAGTCACCACACTAGCCATGCAAGAGGGCATGGCACCTACTGCTGCACGTCGTCGTAGCCGTCGCCCACGTTGGCCAAGCGCACCTGGCCGATTGGGACGGAGCATTGGTTGAAGGCCGGTAGAGCAGCGCCTTCGTCAGAAAGTCGGCCGGCTGCTCGGTGGTCGTGATGTACTTCAGCGAAACTTCCCGCGCGTCACCATGTGCTGCAGCCAGGCCTTTCGCCGCTCCATGTGCTTGAGGTTTCCCGTCAACCCCATGCCCTCAGAGACCGTGATGGCTGACTTGTTGTCCACCCGGAGGACGGTCGGCTTGCCAGCATCCAGCTGCCGGAATTCAGCCATGAAGAAGAGAATTCAGCGTCCCTCCTTCCTGGCGTCGGTGGCCGCGACGTACTCCGACTCGGTCAACGACAGCGTCACGCAGTTGATGCGCTGGCTCGATCAGGAGACTGAGTCCCCTCCGTAGACGAACACGTAGCCGCACGTGCTCGTCCGGTTCTGGTTGTTGCCAGCGTCGTCGGCACCCACGTAGTCGACTAGCTCCAGTGACGCTGGTCCACCGACGAACTTCAGGGCGGTGTCACGGGTGTTGGCGAGGTAGGCGAGGCAGCGGTCGACCTTACGCCAGTGCTGGTCACACCTCACCGTGGGGCCGCTCCCCAGCTTGGTGCAGGCAAAGGCGATGTCCGGCCTTGTCGTCGTCGCCGCGAACTGCGAGCCGAACTTCTGCCGGTACTCCTCCTGGCGCTCCTGTGCCTCCTCGTCAACGAAGGTGAGCTCGATGTAGGCGTTGACCGAGACTGGCGTCTTTAGGGTCCGACCGCCCTGCTCCTCGTCAATGAAACGCCTACGCAGCTTGTCGGCATAGCCCCACTGGTGCAGGCGCAGCTTCCTCACCGGCCTGTCACGCATGATCTCCGTGCCGAGGTACTTCTGCACTAGCAAAACATCGCACAGCTCAAAGGCGGTTTCTAGGAGCTCCTTTAGCTCCTTCAGCATCGCTGCACTGCTGCTGGCGGCGAGCAGGTCGTCGATGTAGACCAGCACCCGGCAGGCCACGCCATCCCCGCCGACCTTGAAGTCTTGCGCCGTGTCGATCTGGCTCTTCTTCCAGCCCGCGCCCAGCAGCACGGCGTC